GCTCGGAGGAGAAAAAACGCTTTGCAAAGATGTTCAGCAAGATGCAGGAGGACACAGAGAGAAACGTTAAAATTAGTCGATACTTTACTACAAGTGCAAGTGTTGTTTCTGTTGTCACAAACACATATGTAGTTTCCCAGCATGCGCTCTTTTGCTTGTAGACTCAAGGCCTGCGGTCGAGTAGTGAACATCATGCATGTACAAAGGACAAGTAGTACAGCATGGTATTTGACACGGCCCCTTGGTTAAAAGACCCTGTAACCATATGAAGAAAGGGGAAAAGTGCAAAGAGCTCAAAGTAGTTTTGACTGCAAAAAAGATCGAAAGTAGTATAACTACAACTCTGCTGGCTGTAGTCCACTGACTCTCAAAGATCAAAAGAAACTGTAGTATGTACAGGCTGATCTCAGTAGCTCTCCTGTTCAGGCCTCAGTAGTGGTACTGAGTGGAGTTCATGAGATACATCCCGATGTAGTTTGGACCTGGAAGTCCAAAGTTGTAGCATCACCTGTAGTTAGGTGTGCTTAGTCCAATGTTGGACTCTGTAGCCTTGTTGCTGACCAATGCGGTGGTCAAGGCTGGCGTAGTGGTTGGTGGTGAAGGTAGTGAGGAAGTCAGGGCCTCCTCGAAGACAAGAGTAGTTGATCTCTGGAGGTGGAAGTGGTTGTTGAAATGTAGTGAGGAGTTTGTGCAGTAGTAGCTTGTGTTGCATGGGAAGACTTGTGGCAGTGAGTAGTGTGAATCCATAGTATGTGGAACTCTTGTGCATGATGGTGTTGATTGCTTTGTAGTGGTGATCCTGTAGTTGTTGTGGTTGGTCGTAGTAGCTGAGTAGTTCAGGAAGGTGAAGAGGCATGTGATAGTTCCAGATGTAGTTGTTGGACAGGTTGAAGGTGTTGGTGATCTGGTCCATGTCGTAGTTGATCTTGTGAAGTCGTTGAGGTAGTTGCCGAGTAGGTAGGTGATGTTGGCCGATGACTGACACCATGTGACTCAAGTAGTCACGAGAAAAGTTGATGAGGTGTCCGCCACTGATGTAGTGTATCAAAATTTCTTGAGGAAGGTGGAGTCGAGCAATGACCATGGAGTTGGTGTGCGATGTTGTGAGATGTAGTGAAGTCAAGTGGTAGTAGTAGAAGTTGAATGCTTCTGAAAAGCGTAGGCTGAGTGGTAGTGAATCGTAGAGGGGCATTCGTAGGTCTGATGGCAAGTTGTGGATGGGTAGTTGGTAGTCGAGGTCTGGCATTGGTGTAGTTTGTTGTTGGCTGAGTAGTTGGTACTCCTCCAACGTCAGCCCCACGTAGACCTCGATGTAGTTTCGTCCCTGATCCACAGTTGGAGTGTGAATGCTGTCGTACTCGACAGTAGTGAGGTGGTTCAGGATGTCGTCGGGCCTGTAGAATGGTGCATTGGTTGGTAGTTGGTGGTTGAAGTGGTAGTTGAGGGCACTGTAGGCCTCAGGTGGTGGAGTGGCCAAAGTAGCCATGCTACCGGAGTCGGTAGTGGAAGGTTGATTGGTTGGTGTAGCAACTCGATCCGGTGTTGTAGTGCCAATCTCCTGTGCTGGCACAGTAGTCTCAGGCGCGATCGTAGTCACATCCATGGGTCCAGACATTGCTGGTAGTGCGACCGAACAAACGAAGTGAGACGGGGCAGAGTAGTGAGCCAAATGGTAGCTCACAAAAACACATGCGGGAATGTAATAAAACAAAACAACATGTAGTGTTGTCTCAAGCCGCCACAAGCCGCCAAAAGTGCAAGTGCAAATTACTGGTGGTTACAATTACTATTACTTGTAGTCACTGTTACTGTTACTGTTACTTACATGCAGGTAGTTACATATGGCCATATACAAACTGTTGTGATTAATGTGCAACAGTTGTGAAACAGTTGTTGTTCGTAGTGCTAAACACGTATGCCAATGCTCTGTATGAGCCTCTGTAGTGTTTCTTTGCTAATATATTTTGTGAACAAGTCTGAGCTGTTGTGTAGTGTGTTGATTTTGAGGATTCTGATGATGTCGTGCTTGATGAGGTCTTGTGTGTAGAGAAATTTAAGGTCGATGTGTTTTGCTCGTTTGCTAGTGCCTTGTCGTGTAGCAATGCTCTTGCCTGCTGTGGAGTCTGTGTGGATGCGTAGATTTAGCTTGCTGCAAATGTTGGTTTCAAGTAGGAAGTTTCTGAGGTGTAGTCCCTCATTAACTCCTGTGCAAATGGCGTAGAGTTCAGACTCTGCTGAGCTGAGTGCTATTGTAGCTTGTGTTCTGCTGCCAAATGCAACTGTTGTTCCTAAAAAGATGATGTTGAAACCTGAAGTTGATTTCCTGGTAGTAGGGCATCCTGCCCAGTCGGCATCGACATGAACGTCGAGATCCAGGATGTTGTTGGTGTTTGCTCTGAGTGTTGTTGTTGGTTCTATGGTGACTTTGTAGTGCTTGGTGCCGTGCAAGTAGCGTAGTAGATGTTTGACTCTCTTTTGTGAAAGTTCTGTAGGTGCTGTGAGGTCTCGTGCTAGTTCTTTTGTGGAGTATGCTATGTCTGGTCGTGTGTATGCTAACCATTGTAGTTTGCCAACAATCCTTCTGTACCTTTTGTGTTGTTCGTGGTCAAGTAGTGCTTCATCTTCTATTGTCGGTTTGTAGTGTGCAATTCCTGGAGTGTTCACTGGGTTGCAGTTGTTCATTCCAGACTCCTCGATCATGTTGTCGATGTAGGAGTCCTTTAGTCCCAGGTTGCAGTAGTTGCCAAAGTGGTCGATGTTTCTTCCAAGAAATTGTTGTGGTTTGCCAGGCTCGAGGTAGCCGATGTGCTTGAGTAGGACCTGCTTCTGGATGGCCTCGAAGTGGAGTCGACAGTAGTCTTGTCACCAAGTACCAAGAGATCATCCACGTAGACCATGATGTAGCAGTCGCGAGTTGCATTGGTGTAGACGTTAGGTTCTGACTTTAGTCTTACAAAGCTGAGCTTTTGTAGAACTTCAGCCAGGTAGTCCTGCCATGCTTTCGGTGAACTGCGTAGTCCACACATGGCTTTCTTTAGTCGCCAGATTTTGTCCTGTTGTGGACAAAGTTCTTTAGGTGGCCAAAGGTAAACGTCACGTTGTTTACCGTCGTGGTCTTTTCTGGCCGGTCATTAAGGACATGCTTTTTATGCCTTTTTTTGTGTGCTTTTTTTGGACCGAAAACCTTGTTTTTTCGCGTGCGCGTTCTTTGTCAAAACAATCCGTTTTTCGGAAGTGTTTTTTTGCCGAAAATCTTGGGGAGGGAGGGGGGCCTTGATGTTTGGACAATCCGGTGGCTCAGAGAGTTGTTTTTGCTATGTCAGCTGGTAGTGAAACTTGGCGCACGTGCTGCCATGGACATTTACGGGGGTGACGCTGACGAGCTCGCGCATTGCGTGGCGCTGCATGTCATTGAAATGAAGATTGACGACGAGATTATTGTCAGGAAATGCAGCCGGGTCCTGCGGTTGATCATGGAAAGAACTGGGCGAAGAGCCGCGATGTTTCCTTTCGCAGTCGTTCTTGCTGGTATGGAGCGCGCGCTGATTTCGCCATTGCCTTCTGATGATATGGCCAGGGAGCCTCTTGTGCGGGATTTGTGCTCTCCAGGCTCTCCAGGACCAACGCAACTTCCACGCGTCACTGCTGAAGAGCGGGCCTTTGTGGAAGAGTCGACCCAGGTTCTGCACTTCTTGAACGAACTGGCCGACATTGACGGACCTCTTACACCATTGGGATGCTGTTGGACGATGCTTGTTTGACTTTGCGTGAGCTTGTTTACCCTTGAACTCTGACTGAACTTGCATCTAGAAAAGGCTGCGGAAACACAGCCTTTCCCCTGAGAGCCCGGCTCAGCTTAGGTTTTTGCTTTGCCTGAGAAGTTTGGCAACTCCTGAGTTTTACAAAGCACAAGGAAAAGCGTGTCTGTTTTGCTGCCAGCGTTGCGTGCGGCTCAGTGAGTTTTCGCCCGCCGCCCGCCCATTCGGTTCAACTGGCTCAGCTTCGGTTCGGCTTCAACTCGTTGTCCAGCTTTGCAACCAAAGCTGGCGAAGCCATGGCATCCAGGTACTTGGAGGAGGGCTCAGCTGGCATTGTGCGGGGGGATTGCCTATACAAGTTGGCGGAAGACATCCAACGAATCACTTGCGGGCAACCAGACAAGATCCCTTTCTCGATGCTCATCAAGGTCTGCGAGACTCTGGGCCCTCTGTACAAAGACAACCGGATGAACTCCAAGATCATCAGCAAGTGCTGCGCCACATGCACTGCGCTTGAACACTTTTTTTGTCACAAGACACCGGTGACTGATGTGCGCTACAAGGACGTCTTGTGGATGTTTGATGAGTACGAGATGCTGCGGCCGATGAAGGGGAAGCTGAACAAGGTTAAGCTTGACGAGCTGCGCACTCTCCATGACCAAATGTTGCAGGTGAGCGAGGCCCTGGATGTGTGGGGCGGTCTTGCCGCTGGCCACGACGCAGAGTGTGTGTTTCTGGCCATACTCTGGCCAGTCCATGTCCTGATACAGGACTTGCAGCCGGTGCTTCGAGAGTTCACATACGAACACACTGCGGCAACACAGTGAGTGTTTGGGCTGAGCTTGAGGGGCTGCTGCAGCCTGAGAAACGATGTGTTTGCTGCCGCATGCTTGTTTGCAGGCAAGAAAAATAGCACCTGGGGCAATATTTGTCAATTTGAGATGCTTTTTGTGCAATTTACTTTGCAGCGCTCTGGTCCAAACTGGCCTTTTTTTAGGGGAGCCATGATGGAACAGTCACCTGCGTTGCGCGCCATGACCGAGGCTGGGGCTCGACGACGGAAGATCGAGGCATTGAAAACGCAAATGGAACACCTAAAGGAAGAGTTGCAGATGGTGGTAGCTGTTGAGATCCTGATGAGGCAGGAGTACCACAATCTGGATTCGGCGCTGGACCTCATCGAGGAGTTCCAAAACACGCGCAATGGCAGGCAGCAGCTGTTTATTGATTCTGAGAGGGGCA